TAGTGCTACCATTTCAGTTTCTTTGATATTATTTTTACTAAGAACTCTTCAGTATTTTTAAAATTTTTTTTTCCCTAGCTGAATGAAAATGATTTAACAACAGGGAGAAAAAAATCTGGTAATTAAATAAGGGAAAATAAGATCACTAGGGTGAATTGCAATGCATAATCCTAGAGATAAGCCCCAGCAGGAAAACAGCTGGGGTGTCTTTGTACATAAACTACAGGCTCATTTTGGATTGTGACACAGCTGTGTCTGCTTCAGCACAGCTCCCTGAATACACACAGGGAAGGAGCTGGGGCTTGGCCCAAATTCACCTGCATTTTCTTTGCTGAGGTGGTGGTGAGACCGAGCGATGTACCACAGGGCTCAGATTGACCTCCCTCTCATCCGCCTGTTCAGTTTTCCCATCTGCCCATCTTAATCTTGAGGTACCACAAGTTTTGCCTCAAGTTGCCATCGAGGATCAGGGCCTGGGAATGGCAAAGCACCACACTGATGTCTCTTCACTGGCAAGAACCCAGCAAAGGGATCTGGACAACGATCCCTTCAAATGGAGGTACGGCAATCAGCCGTGCCTCTGAGGCACTTTGCCGACACCTTCCCCAAGCAGTGCGATGCGATGGCACTTCCCAGGCAAAAAGCCAACTCAACACAGTTCAGGTCCAGCGTAAACCAGGGCATTTCCCGGGGAGCAGCAGGTCTCTACGACCTAGGCAGCCCACCCTGTGCCCACAGCAGGTGCTGGGAACCGAGGGAGGATGGGGGATGCGCTCCACCCTGAGCGGAGGTCTAGCCTGGGGGTCTCCAGCCCATGCTCTGTTGCTGGCTGTGAAGCAGGGACACCACAACAAACAGCTGCCGTCTACCAACTCGGAGCTTCTGCTTGTTCTTTGCCGAATCCCACAGGGACGTTTTACACCTCCTCAGCACCTCTGATGAAAGCAGGGCAGAGAAGCAGGGATTTTTCATCAGAGGCAGCCTGAGGGTTGCTCGGAGAGGTGGCCCAGCCAGCCCAGCCTGCGAGCTCATGTGCACAGCTGTCAAAAGTGCATCACCACTGAAAATTGGCAGCTTGAATCCAGCCCGCCAGAATCTGGCCCACTGTGAGAAACTGAGGCAGAAAGGGACAAATGACACCGTCCCCTGAGGAAAAAACAGGTTGCCACTCTGCTTCCCCTCACAGTCCTGGCAGCAGGAGGCCCCAAGGGTGAGCACTGTGCGGTCTCCAGCGCCTTCCTTCCCCTGCACCTCCTCCCAGGAAGCAGGATGCACATGGTCTTCAATCTGGCATCTCTACTGAACTCACTCTCACATTTGGATAGAGACAGGTACCGCTTTCTTCCAGATGCTGGTGGAAAACCTGATCTAATTACTTTCTAGGGCCCCCTCAGAGCAATTCAACCCAGAGAAGGGAGTGATGCTATTATTGGATCAAAATGGCTCTCTGATGAAACATCAATCTGATTTTTTTTCCCCCACACTTCTTTTTTAGTCTACCTTGCTATGGAGTAATAGCTAACCACTCAGCTAATTATCACCCCAAGAGTCTCTTGGCCAATTAGCTGACCTTGCAAGGGACAGCAAGAAGCAAATTACTGCACAGAGGCGGCATTTCTCTAAGGCTGTGGGTATAATTGCACCAATGGAGTAATGCTCAAGGGCCCAAAGATGAGAGGAATTGCACTACTGAACCTTGAACTTGCAGGGTACCTCACTGCTGTGCCAGGAAATACTATCTAAGGATCTTCCACTCCAGGCTTGCTCAGGTTCTGGATGAAAAACAGTCATTTGACCCCTCTTCTGAACCACAATGATGGGCTAAGTGGCTGAGCTCCTTCCTACGCTTGTGCTGGTGCAGTACTGGGGAGCAAAAAAGCGATGTAGCAGAAAGAGAACTGTATATAGGCCCTAGCTTGGAAATACCATATTGCTCCACTAGCTCCTTTTCTTTCTCTGAGTCCCACCGGTTTCTTGAGCTCCCACTCAGCTGAGTATGTGGACAGTGCGAGAATGGGCAATGAATAAGCCAAGCAGGCTAAATCTCAAAAAATGACACCTCTAAGTGCAAGGCTAATAACTACCAAAGCATATTTCTTAGGGCTCCTTATTCATACTTCCTGCAAGCCATACCTTAACCCAGGAACAGTCATACCATCCTGTTCTCTCCCAGGCCCATCTGCTCTGTTTGCAAGGCTTTGTACCTTGGGTCTTTAGGACACAACTTCACTGTGGGCTAAGGCCCCGCAGTGTTGTGGAGTCAGTGCAATGTGAATTTGCCAGATCAGATCAGTGGCCCCTGCCTGTGACTAATGCAGAACATGAAAGAATCACTGCTGGACACTGCAGGTTTTATAAAAGATTGTTTCCTTCCAAATCCATCTCCACGCAGTATGTATCTGTTGTGGGGGAAATTTGCAGAGGAGGGTCTGTGCCACCGATTTCCACTCTGCACTTGGTCATGGACTACCCAGAGTCTGGTGTTGGAAATGTCACAACCCTTTTTAGAGCCTAGTTGTGAAATTCAGATCTAAAGGATTATTCACTTGAGAGACTGACTTTGTTGAGAATTATCTCTGAATCACAAACTGTGCAGGCTCTGCAGTGTGCCCCATGTTACATTAAAGTAAGCTGTGGGTAAGGTAAGGTACAGTGCTCAGCAATGCTGCTCTGTCCTGATCCCGATTACAGGGTTCACACTTTGGGGAATTAAAGCCCTGTGTATGCTGTTATCCCAAGGCATGGGAGGGAAGGAATTCCCTCTGCAGGTTTACAACTGCCCCCAATAATCAGCCCCTACTAGTGATCAGAGATACAGAGAGATGTTGGAGATTTCATTTCCTTTACTGGGGGGTTGCTTGGTAGCAGGATGCTCCTGGTGGCAGTGGACAGACACGGGAAGGTTTAGCTGTAATTTTTAAGGTTTGGCCTGAGAGATCCCAAGAGAATCTCTGTCTGCCATGCTTTGAATGGACACAAAGCAGCCTTCCTGTGGCATCTGGCTGTTCTGCCAGAAGCCAGGAAGCAGGGAGGGCTGGCAGGAACGGCAGAAAGATTACAAAGTAACCATCGATTTCCCAGCCCCCTCCACCACTAAGGCAGTAAGAGCAAGCTATGAACTGTGGACGGCTCAGGCTGAGCTTGTCTGGACCAAGCACCACACACTAAAGGAAAGCATTGGAGGCTGCCTGGGTCAGAGATCTGACCTTGACTCATCTGCGTGGGTCTGACTCTCCACCCTCCCTTTTCTAGCAGGATAACTGCTGCATGCTATGGAACAAAACCCAGCGGGTAAGGCAGGAGGAGAATTAGTCCTGCTATTTTTAGATGTGCATGATAATACAGCTCAGAAAACTGGGGATTTCTTTTCAAACAAAAGATTTATTTATACATCAAATTAAAAAAAAAAACAAACCACAACCCACAAGATGAAAAATAAGCCCCAACTCTGTGAATCTAATTTGGATATGGTCAGTGTCAGACAGAGGGCCCTGAAGTCTCAAATCCCGTTTATCCACAGAGCAGAGATAGCAGCAATCCAGGCCTCCCCATCACAACGCAGTGGCTCAAGGGAAGGAGGACAGGATCAATACCGCAGGCTCATTCACTTCTGCCCTGTCTACCAAGCCTTTGCTCAGAAGAGGGATGTGCTGTTGAAAAAGTGGCAATCAACGCAGACTAAGCAATATACATAAGGGCTGGGGTTGTTGCTAGGAGAGTTAGAGAGAAGTGCCCCTGTGCTCTGACACAGCCCCCCCCCCTTAAAAAAAAGTGTAAACAAAGGACAACCAAGTCTTAGTGGTATTACAAAACTTAGGGGCCTGATCCTGTACTGAAGCCCTCAAAGACACTGAGTGGTACCCTGGGAGATCTGCTCTGCCAGGGTCTGCAGACCAGAGTTGGAGGCAGTCAGTCTGTGGGAGAAATGAAGTAGTACCAGTTGGTCCCTGTCCCCAGGCAACAGCAGCAAGGTGCATGAGTGCCGGGCAGCACACAACTGTTGTGCCAGAGTTAACTGCTCTGTGGCAACAACAACAGCAAGAAGAACAAAAAGAGCCAGCATTTCTCTGAGCCATCACAGGGGAAAAAAATGTCAGCAATAAATACTCCTTTTCTTTCTTTTAAAAGAACACTCAAACAAAAACAGAAAATGAAAAGCCAAGAAATAATAAATTGTAGAAGGAAAATGGCAGCTCTGTTTCCCTGCCCTGCTATCAGCCCATGCACCTGGGATTTGTTGTAGGGCTTTTTCTCCCCCCTCTCTCCTCTTTTTCCTTTTATTGAGTCATTAAAAACTGGGAGTGGATCTCCCCAGGCGTGCAGGGGGGCAATGGGAATGCTACCCAGACCCCACTGAAAAGAAATCGATGAGGAAAAAATAATAATTTCACTTGATAATGGCACCTACGTTTCCATTGCCGTAAGTTTTCCTGGCCTCTGTCCTTCTACAGACAGCCCACTTCACCCCCTCCCAAGGTTAAAAAAAAAAACAAAGAAGATAACATACAAACAAATTCCAGTGTTTCAGGGGTGCAGAAGAGGGAGAAGGAACCTTGGGGAGGAAAGTGGGGCCGAAGGGCACTCGGAGACATGAAGACACAAACAGAGTGTAATATACAGGCTGGGCAACAGTCGTTAAAGCAAATAGTAACACCTAAGCCACCAACCAATACAAACACCACAGAAGGGGACAAAAGTTGTCAAGAGAAATTAAAAAGCAAAACCAAAACCGAGAAAATAATTACCCAACCTCCCACCTCCCTTACGCCCCAAAATGATCTGTAAGCAAAGCTGCCCTCCCTCTCCGCTCGCCCCAGCCCGCCCTTCCTGCCAGTGCTGGAGGTGTCCAAAGTCTCTGCCGAGCACCCAGGGCTGGCCGGGGCGGGTGTGCGTGCGTGGGAGTGAGCGTGCGTGCAGTGTGTGTGCAAGCAGCCGTGGCACGCTCGGCTCTGCTCAGCAGGGATGCAGGGGGAGTGGGAGGGCATCACTCGTGTGTGTGTGTGTGTGTGTGTGTGTGTGTGTGTGTGTGTGTAGCAATGGGGTGCCGAGCTACACGTACCACTCCTTTTTGGAAATAAAAGATCCGTCATTCTGTGAGACCATGTTCTCCGCTATGTCGAGCTGCTCGGGGTCATACTGGAAGCCGAGTGTCCTTTCGTCATAAGGCTCGGGATGCGCCTCCCCCTCATCTACCGTGAAGTAAGGCCGCTTAGCATCCTCCTCGTATTTGTTGGGGCCACCCAGCTTGCGCTCGCCTCCTGCATCCTCATCCTCATCTTCGTAGGTGCTGCTGCCCAGCGGGCCTGGCTTCTTCTCGTCGTCCGAGTCGTCGGGGTACTGGAGGTTTTGGGCCATGGGCGGATGATGCTGTGGGATGCCGGCCTTACTGTAGCCATTGCCGTACACGTGCTTCTTTGTGCTGTAGTCACCCTTGAAGGTGTGACGCCGGCGCCGGAGTACCACAAAGAGCACCACGGCCACCACCAGGACCAGCGAGACGCCTCCCACTATGCCCCCAATCACGGAAAAGACAGATGGAAGGGGGAACAGTGTCAAACCATGCGGAAACGCGCCCTCCCTCCATGCTTTCATTGCCATTTTTGGGGGGTGGAGGGATGGGAAGATGAGGGTAAGGAACAGGGAAGGGAAAAACTAGGGAAAGGGGAAAAGGGTGCGTCCTCACAGGGGTCAGCACATGGGAGCTCTGCCCTAGCAAGGGGAATGTAGCGTGCCATGCCAAGCTAGCCGAGCCTCATGCAGGAGCCCAGCAGGCTGGAAGCAGTGTTTCCCTCCCCACCCCACCTGGTTTCTCCAGACATACTCAGATCCCACAAGCCCAACGCCTTGAGTCCAGATGCTTTCCATTTTATTGGGTGACATTTCAGGTCCAGTTTACCAAAGCATACTGACAGTCCCAGGGTGCTGCTGGCAGGGAGCAAGACCCCATCCAATGGTGAGCACCGAGCTGCCACGACTGCTCCTGTAGACGCCACACTGGACCTGCCAGCTTTGCATCCTCCTCCTCAGTATCCCAGACCAGCCTGAGCCCAACCAGTCTAGGTTGGGCCAGAAGGCAGTGGCACCTAGTGATCTCCCCTCCCAGCCACCCCACAAGTGATCTGCAGCTGCACAGCAATGCTCAGGGGCATGGCTGGCTCCTGAATGCACTTGCTGACCTGGCTGTGCTCTGCAGCACAGGGACACAGACCTCCCATGCCTGCTTTTTCTTCTGCTATTACTGTGGCCAGCATAGTGCCACTACTCATGCTAATCTTATTCCTACAGTTACCCTGACCTGTTTAAAAAAAATAAATAACTCCAAAGAGAAAAAGAACAGAGATGAGAAAGAAGCTCTCTTCTCTTTCATGCTGTTCAACACCTACACTTCGGCACAGATGAAGTTTGATCCAGGACTTAAATCATTCCTAACGCTCTCTGGGCACACTTACAGCCCCTAGCCAAACTCGGCTTTTACACACTACCTGTTGAGCATCTGTGTCCATGAGGTATTAAGCCTCACGTGGCTGTCTCTGAATTTAGACAGCAGTCACCTGGTTAATGCCCCCTGGCAGCCTTGCCCTCACCCTTCTTCCATGCCCAAGGCCTGTCTGCCAGCCCTGCTCATAGCTGCAAGCTGTTACTGCTGCTCTGGAGCCTCCTGGCCCCCACTTTTTACCCCCGCAGCTCAGGAGAGGTGCAGACTGACTAGCAATCTCAGCAAAGCCTCCCAGAAGAGCAGCCAGGATGGGGTAATGGGGAGGGAGGGGCTCAAAAGCAGCAAATTCAAAAGGGATACGAGGCAGAGTCTTTCTCCTGACCCTCTCCGTGCACTGGCAGGACTGCCTGCTGCTGGCAGCCACCTTTCTGCGTTAGGGCAGGAAGCCCTGAACATGCAGGAGCTGGACAGGGAGTGGGTTTCCCTGCAGCACAGCTTAGTCCAGCTGCTAAGGAAGAAGAGAGAAAAAAGATTCCCCTGGGTAAAGGCACTTCCTGAAACAGCTGCAGATTTTGGACAAGGGCACTGAATTTGAGCAATTGCTGGCCTGATCCTTGCGGCACAAATGTTTTGCTTGTGCCTGAGAGCCATTTCATTCCTGCCTTTCCTGAGACATCATCCCAACAAAAGCATCTTGGTTTCTGCAGTGCTGACTTGCCTTGAGCAAAGCCTCACGAGCCTTAAACCACACACAGAACAGCACACTGGGCAGAATGGGCTGGGGCTCCCTGCTGCAGCCAGAATGAGGAGCAAGACACTGTGCAGGCAGGAGCCAGCATCTCTTTCCAAAGACAGCCTTCAGAGCAGGAGCGAAGACATGTATTTCAGCATAGGAAGCCGGGGTGGCTTCTGGAAAGCCAAAACCACGTTGCATCAACAGACGGCTTGTCATAGCCAGCTGGTTAATGCAAAACCTCTCTGCAGAGACAGCAAGAAATGTCACATCCATCCCCTCGTAGTCCTGGCTGCTGAGGGCTCAGCTTCAACCACACAAGTGTCCGCACAACTCTTTCTACTCCCACCCATGCCACCTCCCCAGGCCTGTTCCTTGCCATCCTAGCCTCTGCAAACCTGGGGTGCCCAATGCCCCAGAAATGTGCACAAAGCAGGGGTCCACCTGGAGCTTAAGTGGGTGCAGTGAAAGACCAGCAAGGTGGCTCAGACTCCAGGGGCTGTATCTTCTATTTTCCCCCACCCCACAGTTCCCACCTGAAGCCTCTTCCCACCTTGCTTTTCCCTGCAGCAAAGCTGATTTTGTGCATGGGACCATGGGTCCCAATATCCCCGAAGAGACCCAGACATGGTGTGCATGCTGGGCGCAGCGTCCCTAAAGCCGTACTGATCCCCTCTGCCTCCCAGCTCTGGAAAACAGACAGATCTGAGAGGGGAAGTCTGCGCACAATTTCAAAAGGAGCTTGGCCCACTTTTCTATTAAAAGCCTCACTTACAGCCCAGGTTGGATGCATGAAGTGAAAGAGGGAATGTTTTTCTACTTTTCTCATATATATTTAATTTTTCCCTGCCCTTTGTGCTGCCTGCCCCTGAGATAGCACTTGCCTACACGCCACCCCCTTGCCACTGCCGATGCCGCGGACATGAAAACTAACATGCTGCCGCGCTGGATTTCACACGCTGTTCAGGGAAGTAACTATTTTCTGCTCACACCCCATCCCCGTCCTCCTCGCAGCGGCCCAGTCCCCGTGCCAGAGACAACAAACCCCAACTGTGGGAAGAGAGGGCGAAGGCAGACGGGAAGATCGCACGCCAGCAGCCGGAATCACCCGCTCCCTACCCACAGAGCCGCCTTCCCCCCCTCGTCCACCCACCGCGCTCCCCCG